GTACTACTCAGCTAGGCAGTTGTAGTACTGTCGCTGCTTACACCGGGTAGGTATTACTGGCACTATATATAGAGAGAACCGGTGTAATTCCCTTGTGTTAGAGGCCGGTGCAACAAATAGATAGATAGATAATGAACAGAATAAGAGATATCTATTTATAGATGCATAGATAGATACATCAATAGTAAACGAACACAGTGGGAGATGTCTATGTATAGATAGATAGATAGATAGATAGATAGATAGATAGATAGATAGATAGATAGATAGATAAACAGAACAACCGAATTTCAGATAGGTTATCGACAATTTCTATCCTGATACATATCTATATAATAAATGCGAATATCAGTGTGTCACACTTTTTCAGCTTTACGCCTAGAGGCCGTAATCCAACATGGAATCAGGCCGACTCCGTGAGCAAACTGAAAACATTGTGGATCGGGTCCAGGCCCGCAATCCGGAAATATTGGATTCCCAATTTTTCATTACTGCGATTGTTTTACGCGAATTTTTATCCGATTATTTTTGCGACGACATTTTTTGTACAATAAAAATTTTTATAACTTAAAAATAAATTTGGGAATAATCTAGATTAACTGTGAAATCAAGCGAAAGCCACCAAAGAAATAAAAAATAATATTTTTTGCACAGAAAGTAAAAAACTACTCACACCAAATTATCTTTAAATTAAGCGGCGACAGATGAATTATCGTTAAACTTTTAAAAGATAAGCTTATAAATTAATGCAATGCTTAAATGAAACGATCAATTTGGAGTACGTTTCGGATGCAGGACACTAGCAAAAAGAAATCTCTCATAACAGAGAACGAGATTGCAATCAAAATAGCCAAGGCTGCAGCGGAGAAAAGAAAGTCACTTGCAAATGAAAACCCAGATAAAATGGCAACCACGAGAGCATGCAATGCTGAGAATATGCAAAGGCTTAAAGACTCTCCAACACCTGAGCCAGCCGAAGGCCCAATTAAAATCATTGCGCAGGAGCTAACTTAAATGCCGCCCAATGGGGCAAGTTTTAAGCAAGTATAAAAATAATTTGTAAGAATCCAATAACAAATTAAACCACCATGACTTGTCAATTGAATTTAAAAAAACGTAAACATTATTTTTATGAATACATGCTGACGAAGTATGTCCTATATATAGCAAAACATATCTATCTATCTATCTATCTATCTATCTATCTATCTATATATATATATATATATATATATATATATATATATATATATATATATATATATTTGGTTGGATAGATGTAAGTTAGCTCTATCTCTGATATTAGCGCTAAATAAATATACATATAATATATAAATAATTATACATATATATATTTATTTATATTTATATACACTTTTTTATATACACACACATATATATATATATATATATATATATATATATATATATATATATATATATATATACCACAGACAGGGTGTTTCAAAAGTCTATGTCACATTCTAAGAACTCTTATATCCAGAATTGGTAGCATGATTGAACTCGTGCCATTTAAAATCTAAACGTGGCACGTTTTCTTCCGTTAATTTAATTTTAATTTACTTAATTAAATTAAATATTTGAACACCATTCTTCCTGATATATTAGTCGGAAGTTTAAGACAGACTGATCGCGTGTTCATGAGATGGTCAAGTAGGCGTCCAGACCTCATGCCATGTGACTTCTTCCTATGGGGTATGTGAATGGCCTTCTGTACGTACCCACTTCCCTTCCCAGAGATGTGGATGAGCTGAAGACGCGAATGACAGATGCCTTGGCAACCATCGACAACGCTATTCATGGTCCCGTTTGACAAGAATAGGATTATCGTTTGGATATGTGTCGTGTAACCCGCGGCGCTAACATTGAACACCTGTAAAAACCTGTATAGAAACGTGGTAATATTTGTTTTCAGGAAATATGAAATGGGTTTTTATACCCTCAATAGATATTAAGATATCCAGTCTTGTAATGTGAGACATACTTTTCGAAACAGCCTGTATACACACGACAATATAACTCTATGCACTCCTTTCCTTTTGAAAGGTTTGCCTTGATAAATTTCCTCACAGAACGAAATGAGTCGGCTAAAAGATTTTTTCTTTGCTCTTTATTCATATATAAAGGTTGCGATGGATATATTATCGTAGAAATTACGAAAAAATGAAAATAAAAATGATATCTCATTTTAACAGCTATATTTACGAAGATTACACAAAAATATCTTGGAACGCTAATACGTAAAATTATTCAATATAATTGCCATTGGCTTCAACCGTGGCCTCCAGATGACTTAGGAATCTCTTGAATCTATTCTGATGTAATGTGTGAGCTGTACTTGTGTGTACACTTTTTGTTTCTTCAAGGCATGGTCTAATAGGAATCCCATCATTGAGACTATTATTATTATTATTATTATTATTATTATTATTATTATTATTATTTTCATTTTCTTTGATTTCTGGCGTTTACACATTTCTTTCCGGGTCCCGCCCAGGGATCTAAGGTTAGAAATGGCGTCATGACACTTTCCACTGACAAAAAAAAAAAAAAAAATACATAGATAAAGCCCTTCGTAAAGTGTGGTCTGTACTTTTCAAAACAATTTTTTGTATCTCCTTGAGGCATGGACCTCCAGGAATCCCTTCAATTAGTCTACTGCAATCTTTTCCAACCAGTCTTACGGGGTTGTTGATGTTCCCATATGCCACATTTTCGAGATTTGTATTTCAAGATCCTTGTATTTTGACAAATTTTTGAATATCTTCAAAGATACATTGCAGTCAACAGCGATTGCCATATTAACAAGAAGGCACCGTTTTCGTTTGTGGTCTTTAATAACAATATCTGGCTGGTTGGCCTTGATTGTTCTGTCAGTGTGTATTGTGTAGTCCCATAGAATTGTAACAGGTCCTATCTCCGTAACCGGGTCTGGGTGGTGTTCATACCAGTTTCTTTCAGCTTTCTTCCCGTAGAAGTTGCAAATTTTCCAGTGCAGATATTGGCCCACTCTGTCATGCCGGGTTTTATATTCAGTGGGTGCCAACCTGATACAAGATGATCAATCGTTTCTGGATATTTATCACAGAATCTGCATTTTGGACTAACACAATATTTTAGTATATGTGCTTGATAATTCCTAGTTAGCAAGCATTGGTCCTGTGCAGCAAGGATAAAACCTTCAGCTATTATTATTATTATTATTATTGTTATTATTATTATTAATGAGTAAAATGAAGCACTCTAATTAAAACAAATCTTTTAATTTCAACTCATTATAAAGGACTGTATGAGGATTTATTTGCATCCATTTCAGAAAAATCTAAATGAATTATTTGCTTTCAAGCCATTCTGAAAATGAGAAGAGGATTTGCCTTTAATTCGATTAGAAAAAAAGCTGGGAAAATACCGCCGAAAACCAGGACATTTAAGAGAAGAACAAGGAGGCCATGTGTTAGGAAACAACATAATCGCTAATTTATCAGCCAACCACTTCTTGGACCTTTGGAGATGGTCAGGTAAGAGGAACCTTAGTTCTTTTGAAAGAGTTAAGGTCGTCTTCTCGTTTCAGGTTTGGTCCACGTATTCATTTTCTCGATATAGGCAGTGTTAGTGATCCTGAGATCCAGTTTACGCATGAATATTACCTTACTTAACGTGCCATACACGAAAGTACATCTCTAGATCAACCTGTTCGCCTAGTCCTTTTGAAGGGGATTTTATTTGTTTCATTGTGGGGTTTTATTGTCAATGATCGACTGGAATCTGTCCTGTCTAATACTCCTGAAAAGTAACTGAAAATATTATAAGTTCGCTTGAAATATAAACTTATGCCATCGACCATCGATGCCGAGCTACATTATTCATGTAAGCGACACTCTTTATGTCTTTTACTCTGTTTCTCTTTAAATGCAAACACTCACACATACAAGAACACAGAAACACACACTGGAACGCACAAACATCCACACTTACACATACATATATTTGGAAATTCAAGTGTCTAATGACAGTATTCTTTCTTTGTTTAGCGGCATATCAACTCTATATGGGTCATTTAATGACGAAATTTAATTTTCTTGTGAGTATTAGTGATTTCTTTGAGAAAAAGCATTAAAGCATAGATAAAAATGCACATAGAAATTTCGTTTTCGGAAGTGACGTAGCCTTAAATGGCGAAATGCATTATCAAATCTATTTTCAATCAATAAAGACAAAAATAGTCCAACATTTGGATATTATTTATTATTAAGTTGGTCCTAAGCTTTCGGCTCACATGAGCCATCATCAGACTTAAAACAAAGATATCCACCGTCAAAGATGAGATTCTGTTATTTTGACATAGAAAATTGCTATGCGACGATAACGGTCGCGGAATAGCAGACACAGATCGTAAGTTCAAGATGACGTCATACTACGCGATAGATCGAAGTATTAAAATAAAAGCAATGTCCAGATGCAATGTAATGTGTTGTGACTAGTTTGAAATGTAATTTTGTTGAGTGTGTGTTGCTTCGTTTTAATTTAGATAGTTTCCAATATCTGAAGGTTCTTTTTACTGGGTGTATGTGTGAGTCTTATTGTGTTAACAACTAATATCTGTCTAATATTATGTACATGGCTATCTTTTTCTAAGAAATGTTACTTAATAGAACTAAGATCAGAAATGTGACAGGTTAGTCTACGGGAGCGCGTGGTTGTAGTAAAACCAATATATGTAGCGGGTTTATTATTAGCATCAGAAATACAATCAATGAACGGACATGTAAATTCATACACTACATTGGTTTTCTGTAGAGGATTTAGTTGTGTGGTTGTAGAGTTATTAGAAACTATGAAGTGAATTGTAATTTTTTTATATGATGATCTTAACTTTATTATTATTAATTTTTATGATGATCTTAACTTGTATATTATTACTAATGGGTTTAACATTTCTACCTATTATGTTTTTGAATGTTGTTTCATCATGTTTGTAATTATCATGCATTTGGTTACAGTAGTATAAGTTAATAATGTTATGTTCATTTTGACGTACAATATTATTAACATTATCAATTTTGTTATAGGTATTATTAAGTTTATTGAGATACATTTTAATTTGTTGATCTATGACGGCATTAGGAAATCCATTATTAACAAATGATTTTTAATGTTATTTAATTCTTTATAGGATATGGTTTTGTAAGAAGATATCATTTGTGTGTGTTGGATTAAGTTTTTCATAACAGCTAACTTATATCGTTGGGGGCATTCACTATTGTAATTAAGAAGACACAAGTTAATGCATGTGGCGTTCCTATATAGAGAAGCAGTAAATTTATGAGCGTTGGAATCAATAAATACATCAAGAAATGGAATTTTATTATTTAGTTCTAATTCGAATTTGAGGACGGAATGATTTCTTCTTAAGCTGTGTAACTTGGTCAATATTTTTAGCTAAAACGAAAATGTCATCTATGTATCTTGCATATATAGAACGTTTATTAGTGTCATTAAGTATTTTATATTCTAAATGTGCCATATAACAATTAAAAAAGGGAGCCTAAAGGAGATCCCATTGTGATACCGTCTATTTGAGTATAAATATAGTAGTGAAGGTATTTGTGAAATGATAGGTCGGAGGGGGACGATCTTTTTTATGGACTTTTACTTTTCTATGAATGTAGACAGGCTGATAGTCATCTATAATATTTTTAAGTTTATAGGATCCTATGTTAGCAGTAATAGGTTTATTAATATGGTTTTTAGTTAGGTAAACTTTTTAAATTTATTATGATCGTTCAAAATGGCCTGTAATTTTGAGTGGTACTCATGTTTGTTTAAAAATACGAAAGTGTCTTATCAGCTCGTCGGATAACAATATTTCTGTTATTTTTATTTGTGTGGCTGCTTTTATTAATGGAGGGTTTACAATTCCATTCGGATTTTTGTGATAACAGTTTTTAATAAAGCCGGCTTTAAATAATTATTTTAAACCTACCTGTGTAGTAATATGATTGTCTTGTTCCAATAATATATGACAGTCTTGTTCTAATATATAGGAGGCACGGTGTATTAATGGACAGCGGCTTGGACTGAGGAATCGCAGAGCCAAGTTCGAATTCCAGTCGAATCCATTACATTCACTTTCGTGCTAATACCCTTGGGAAATGTGTGAATCCTCTTCTTCTCCCTCCAGCTATAGGTAAATAGCAGAACGGACTGGGTTCTATAGCATTGGATGGCAACTGGTCTAGGAGAAGGACAACTCTGAATTCAAAACCTGCAGAGAGTCGTTTTGTGACCTTTTGCCACTACGTGCCACCAGGTCTCTGTATTCGGCCCTTCAAAAAGTGTGGATGGTCCTGCACGAAACCTTCAACACTATAATCTAATCTCATGTCGGCCTGTCGGTTTCCTATGAACATAACTGCTTGACCCGCATACGTCGAATTCGATGGGAGTGTCGAGTATATATATATATATATATATATATATATATATATATATATATATATATATATGAAATGTCATTACAATGGGCACTTCTTATTTGAAATAGACGTCCAATTAGGTGTGTAGTACCTCTATCGTGAAAGTGTATAACAAATCAGAGACTGGCAACTAGTTGAATGCGAATGTGCGTATCAATAAATCCCTCGAATGACAACGTTATTAGACTGATTTTTATATAGATTCTCCGAATAATTTTGATCACTGTAAATAATGGAGAAATCTAGAGATGAGTGAATTACTAAGTAAGGTGATCATATTGTAAAATATATTTGTTGTTGAAAATAGACGCAATTTCTAATTATGTTAAGAGTTTATTAACGTACACCTGTGTGCATCTCGTTATTATTAACGTAACCCTGTATGTATCACATTATTATTAACGTACCCCTGTATGCATCTCGCTGTTATTAACGTACGCCTGTATGAATCTCGTTAATATTAAAGTACCCAATATGCATTTCGTTATTATTAACGTACCCAATGT